CACTTCACTCCCAGTGCCCTCAGGTCTGCATCTGAATTGCAGGGAATAGAACCCAGTTCACTTCTTTTGAAGTGAGCTGGCTGCCCCACGGCCCCTGCAAGAACAGCAGCAACAGGGCAGGCAATGAAATCATGTCTGTTTCAAGTAAATGGAACAGGTGTAGTTTGGATTCTATTTACAAATCCCAAATGATTTGCAGACTTAACTTGAAAACTGGCAAAAAGCTTAATTGTGCTGTTGAATTGAGATCAGGGAGAAGATAAACTGGCTCCGTGGAGCCAATGGGACTTTCACTGCTGGATCCGTTGGGTCAGTGTTTGACTCCAAGTGAAAAAAGAAGCTTCTTCTGTAAATCAGATAATCCTTTAMAGGATCTGATCTAATACTGAAAGAATTCTGAAAGGCAAACAGAAATTCAGCTCCYGGTGAACTTGTAGCTTCAAATAACAATGAAGAAAGGATTGGCATAGGAAGCTGAAACCCCATTGCACAACAGGTTTTTAAGAAAATGATGATAATGTGCAGTACATAATATGCTCCCAACAAAGAGAAGCACTGGTAAGTCCYATCCCCAAGTGGCTGCCTTGTACCACTGGGCAATGGGCACCTCTGCTCAGAAATGATCAGGCTCATAAAAGCTACAGATGATTCCACCACCTACCGGGTTCTTTTTTTGTTCCCTCCAATTACAGAAGTGTTAACAATGTTTGAGATTACACTAGTTGGAACAAATGCATTAGCACAAGGAATTAAAAACATGCTCTGTGTAAAGACAAAACTTCATATGGTCCCTGCTTGGCTACAGCATGAGGAAAACTTTACCATGATGTGCTAATTTCTTGAAAAATACAAGTGTGCTTTTTTCTGTATGCTGGCTTTCTTGCAGATTTTAAGATGGATGGTGAAGCAAACACCATCCTGTAAATAGCAGTGATCTCATCTCCTACTGCTGACAATTAGGGCTGCAACATCAACTCTTGATATAGTGAGGAGCTGGCCAAAAAAAAACCCCAACAGCAACCTGTAATTGCCTGTGCTGGGAAAGAGTAACTGTGCACCCTGCAACCCCCTCACTGCARCAYCCACSACGAAYGAGCTGCCATAAAAACGGGGCAGGTACCACTGGATTGCCCATTGCYTTCAGCAAATTGGAAATAACCCASWGAGAGATGTTTTGGTTGATTTGTTRGTTCATACSAGGCTGTGAAAACAGCTTAAACTGTCCAGCTGTGACACAGCAGCTCAGCCAGGAGCCACTGCTATCAGGGCAGCAGTGGAAGAGGAGGAAAACACAGAAATTGCTTTGGTAGGAAAGGTCTGATCCCATGAGCTGAGGGCCAGCCCAGCATTGCTGGAGGATCTGCAGGGCAGGCAGCTCCTGGGCAGCCCAAGAGTTTGTGTTGYTTCTGCTGCTCCTGCACCAAAGGCATTGCAGAGACAGAGCTGCTGCTCCTCTGAAACCACAAACTGCTCACAGCTCAGAATAACTGCATGGACTCGCTCATTCTGGATTTTCAAACAATTGCACTGTCTGTGGGGTTCTGAACAGTGCTAGTATCRACATTTTGAAGAGGGGGAAAAACTGTAATTTAAGTTTTTCATTGATTCAGCTATTTCAGTGATGCCACTTTGGAAAACTGGCCTAGAGAGTTGTATTCTGTCCAGCACTCCTTAGGTAAGTATTTTACACCATTTACCCTCCTGAAAATAAGTTCTCCTCTCTTACAAGAAACAAAAGAAACAAGAAACAAAAACCCTAAAAACCCTAAAAACCCTTAAAAACCCCTAAACTAAATTTTTAAAAAAATTTTTAAAGTTTGAAGACAATAAATTGTTTTCCAATTAATTTTTTCAGGCTAAAGTAATACTATTATAAAAAAAAATCTAATTTAAACAAGTAAGTGCTTGTAAACTTCAAATGAAAAATAAATACAAGAAATATTTTCTCCAAATATTTCTGTTTAGCTGAACACAATTAAAGAAAACATTCAACCATTTTGACACAGTTTGTAAGCTTTTCCCCCGAGGCAGGGCTGCAGACAGAAGAGGAATTGTTCCAAATACCCATCAATCCCCAGAAGGCAAGGCTCAGCCATATAATTAGACATTGAGCAAAAGGCTTATTTCTTTCTTCTGTTTTGTAAAATCTTTCACATAAATCCTTGGGTCCTTAACTTTCATTGAAAAGAAAATGCCTGACTCAGGTACCCACTGAGCAACACTGAATTAGGACTTCAGGCTGTGACACATATACACCACTGTCCCATCCATAAMCACACAAGTGTCATGTCCATAAATATCAATAAAAGGCTATTTATTGCCTGAAACAGAGATAGAAAAGCACCTTCCAGCATAATCCCAAAWCCACAGATCACCAAGTGCTCTCCATCTCACTGAGGACTTTTGTCTAAATAAAACTGCATGACAACCTCTGGCTTGCTGAGGTTATAGAGAAACAACAGCAAAGAACAGGAAAACCCCTTTTCAAGAGGGAACATGAGAAAACTGCTCAAGGCTGTTCTAAATAAAGAACACGAGCGCTTCCTAAAGCCATCGTTACTAAGCTGCCATCCTCCCAAGGGACAAAACAAAACAAAACAAAACMAAMCCACATTATTTCTGTGCTRCCATAGTCATGAATGCTTGCACAAGCCCCCCTGACCATTCCTGCAATTTTGCACTGGAGGATGCAGGAGATGCTCAGCTCTCTCCAGGTCACCTGGCTGGAAAGTGCACAMCTCTCCATGCTCTGCCAGGGTTTTCCTTTCCATTCCATGCCAGCCAACAGCCAGCCAAGGCTCAGGGCAAAAATCAAATACTGCAGAGCAGGACAGGAGTGATCTGAGCCAAGTATGAGATCCAGGGACTCTGACACAGACTTACTCCAGAGTAGTCATTTAATCCTTCTGCCTCAGTCTTCCTAACTGGAAAAAAAAAAGTAGCAACTATCAATTACCTAGTTTGTAGGTCATATATTTGCAAAGCCCTCAGGGAGATGAAAAGCATTATACAAACTATATGCACACATGTTAACGCTGATTAATTTTCTCTGTGCAAACATACCCTTTTTTCTTCTTCATTGCCCCTCCTCTCATTATATCAGCAGTCTCATCTGGAGGAGGACGAGGAACTGCTGACAGCTGAAGGATTTTCCGCAGTTGTTCTTTTGAGATTCAGAAATGCAACCACTCAACACAGCCCTGTGTTCAGCTGACTGTTTCCTTAATAGCTTTGCTCTTTCATGTGTTTCCTCATTTTCTGTTACATGAATTTAAAGCAATCTGATTTCCAAGTTAATTTGAAATGATGCAGGATCCATTAGTTGAGGGTATCATTTGCAAAATAACTCTGAGAGACAACTTTTCACTCACTATACTTTCAGGTRCACCCTCAGCAAACAAAGGCTGGGCTAGTGATGTGAATAAAGTCAGCAGAATTTGACCTAAAAGGCATGTCAGTGTACAGAGGCACAGGGATACAGCCCAACAGTGTAAGAGCCTTGTAATCCATGCAAGAGCTCCTCCACAGCCTGAGGTTCACACCAATAAAAAGCCTTTTTGTGACAGTGCTTATTACACTAATGACAATCAGAATATATAYASMKYTTYWMAARASWMTCTATAAGCATTTTTCTWRGGATGCTTGGATGCAKAATTTCYGAGGAATAAAATKTAAATGTTTTGTGGAAYAAAWCTTGTGTTTCAGCTGTCACAAAGTAACCCAGGGTGAAACTRAGGACTTGAGTTTTGTCATCAGCTCCACGATGGCAGTTCCCATTAACTTTAACAAGGCTAGCCCTCTGCACCCAAGGGTAGGACTGGGATTTCTGACTCGCAGCATCCRAGATGCAGCATCCATTTATGCTCATGCATGGAACAAACTGCATTGGCACAAGTTTCCCAAAGATGCTGTGGAACCTCCCTCTCTGGACATATTCAAAAGCTGTTTGTACCTGGTCCCAGGCAAGTGGCTCTGCTTGAGCAGGGGATTTGGACCAGATGACCTCCCAAGGCCCTTTCTAGCCCATGTTTCTGTGAAATGGGCAATGCTCTGGTGTATTTGGGATGGATGGCCTCTGACTGTCACTGCAGCTCTGCTCTGGGTGCTGTGGAGATGACACAAGTGACACCCCAAAGCCATCACTGCCTGAATGTACTCGAGGCACCCAGACTGCTCAAGTGACAACTGTGAGAGGCTGGAAGCTGAGAGGAATTTCAGGGCACTGGCTGAGAGATGGAGAGGTGGCTGGAATTTCCTTCTGCTGTGTAACAACTGCAAATCTCCACTCTTAGATGTGCATGCAGTCAGCAGGGTACAGGCAGGAGCCCATGTGCGTATTCCACAACTGAATCCAGAAGCCTTTGAGACAGAAACAGTCCCCTCTCTATTTAGTGACCACCTAATGGGGTGGGAAAGCTGTACAAAAATACAATAAAAACATGACAAGCTAACTTTCCAGCTGCTGTCCTTAAGATAAAATCACTGTGGAATTTAATCTGATAATGCTACCAAGAMAGAGAGCCTTGGAGGGCAATCCTCAAGAAACACCACCTTGTCTCTGTGTTGAGCTGTGTCAAGCCACACAAAAAAATCTGTTTAAAAAAAAATWWAAAAAGCAAGGCTTTTGAGTAGCTTTGCTCCTGCCAAGCAATCTGCTCTCAGCTGACTATAAAATCTCTCATGCTGTAAYGCCAAAACTCCCAGGCAGAGAACACACTGACTAGCAACATAATGTTTGAAGTACTTAAAAGGGAAGAAGCAATCATGCCTGCTTTCAGAAAATGAGATGGTGGTCTCATTAGCAAAAAAATTCAATTGCAATAGTTACCTCGGCATGTAAAGGACTCGCTCTGCCACCACAAATCCCACCCTGAAGAAGAGGTTGCTGGCTGGGATGAATGGGAAAACCAGGAACAACAAGCCAACCAAAACTTCTTTGTGTTCCAGTTTCTGCAATAATACAAAATTAAACAAATATCAACTAAAAAAATCCACCTTAATTCACCTCTAACTTCCCCCTTTCTTTTGAAGGTCATAAAAAAAGCAACTCAGATTAACATTTGATATGCTTTGCATTTAAAAGCAATTTTTGCTTCGATATTTATGCGCCGCTTGTGCATCTAATATGCCCAGAAAGCGCACAAACACTACCCACTCTGTCTATTATTACCCTTGGTATCTTTTCCAAGGTCAGCTCCACCATATGCATGGCACAGCTACCACCTCAGATATATCTCACATTGGTGATATGTAAGTATAGAGCAGTGTGAACGCATACATTAGTGTGTCTACAACACTGTGACTGTGTGTACATACACAAATGCGTATCACATACACACACACTGCTGTGCTCARTCCTGAATGTTTACAACAGAGAGAAAGCTGCTCACTCAGTCACATTTTGTGTAAAGAAAACTAGCCCCAAGTGACACATTAATGCAGTCATTTTATCCCTTTCCAGGAAAATATCTACACTTGAAATGATACTTTCGCACACGAGGTCTCCACGCTCATACAGAGTCAGAAATTTGAGACATGCTGTATGCTAAAATTAATGTTTTTCACTTGAGCTCAGTTAATGCCCTTCACTTGCGCTCACTTTAATATCAGCTTGCTCTTTGAGGAGAAATGGAATTGCCACATGCAATTCAAACCAGCTGTGAGCCACAGGGCCAGCGCAGGCATTGGGGATGCTGTGACCAGCAGTGGCCACTCATCCTGCCACGGACAGACCCAAAAACMCTGGGCAAGTTCAGCTCCAGGCACAGCTCCACCCCACGAGGGTGAATCAGCTCATGTTTCTCAAAGAATGACACCAGGATAGGAGTGTAGCTTCAGACCTGTTCAATCCCCCAAGCAGACATCGGTGCTTTACCCAAAACCGCTTCTCACCGTCTGCAGACATCGGGAGCTTTGTCGTGCTCAGGAACAGATGCAACCAGAATCACTTAATGGTTGCAGCACTATCTAATTGTCGTGGGCAATTTCTCCATTTTTGGAGAGCAAATTGACTTCTCTTTGCTGGAGGGAACTACATCTAGAAATGCTGAGTAAGATTTTTGAGTAGAGAAATGCGGAGCCCAATTGGTGATTTGGAGCCAAGCAGGAAAACCTGCTCTGCTTTTGCACAGCTGCAGACTGCAACAGCAGTCACCACTGGTCAGGGCTGAAATTCAGAAGTCCTGCTACTAAAATATATTCACCCTACTCTATGGGAAAGACAACAACAAAGCATTTTGTATGGGTGCCAAATGCAAGGGTACAAATCAGGAGGCTCTGATTTTGCTTTAGAGGAACTAAACCACAGCATCACAAAAAAAGTACACTGATTTCCCCTGGCTAAAAGARGAATCATGAGGTAGAGAGAGGAGTAGAATTGATGTCTCCAGACTTCTTTATCAATATATGTTTTAAACAGCACCACAGTTATCTATGGTGCTTCTATCATCCACTTTCTCGGTATCTTGGATTCAGTTACTGGAGCCTACATGCAGTCACAACAGCATCTAAAGTACATAATTCTCAGAGCTGAAGGAGACAGCAATCCATAAAAATGATGAGCAGAGGTGCCTGGTAATTACAACAGAAAATTGAATGGAAAAAAAAAAGGATTTTTTTTTCTGAACTCTGAATTAAAATGACCAGTTCTAGCTCGACTTCAACTTCCCCTCCCACCCAGCTCTGGACATACACCTCAATTTTTCTCCTGCCATTTGACTCTCCCTTCCCACTTTGTCTGACCTAATTATGGTGCCCATCTTCTGACACCACTCTATCCCAGGGGTTTGACTGGGATAACAGTCAAAAACAGTTAAAAACCCAGAGGCACAAGAAGGTGTGTTGGGCCAAAGGGAGTGCACTGCTAACAYATAAAATGTTCTCAGTCCCCAAGATACACACGTGCTTTCAAATCAACCAGCTATCACATAGTTCTCCAGTTGCTGATCACTAAATCAATAATTGGGAAAACAGCCTCCAGTTAAACATCTCTAGGAAGGACACGCTGTTATTCAAGGCTACAGCATTGCAGATAAGCAAAGGAAACTGAACCATGGAGAAAGACAAAACTTGTACATCGAATGGGAAAGAGCATGTGGGAATTAGCTCAGCTGAAGGATACAATGGTTCTGCATGYCCTTTTTCTCCCCAGAACAAGTCACAACTCCATGCTAATGCCATTGAGGGCTGCCAGCTCAGTCCTTTGGGCAGGGCTTAGGTAGAGAAGCCCACCATGCACAAATCAGCCTCAGAGCAGCAGAGCCCTCCAGGTGCTACTTATTTCTGCAACAAAAAACACTTGGCACTGCCCTTTTTAAAGCACTGCCAGTAAGGTAGAGGCTTTTAGGAAGAGCTGGTCCTTAAAGGCCAGGCTTCAGCTGGTGCCACACATGGTCCTGCCTTTGAGGCAGCTCTAGGAACAATGGACAGCAGCATCTCCCATTCAACACCAGCCATAGGTAGTTCCCTCCACGTGTTCTACACAAAACAAACCCATCATACAAGTAGCCTGTTGCATTTTCCAGGCAAAGAAATAAAAGAAATATTAGGGCCATTTATTTGGTTTAGCTGCTTTGGTCATATGATCCCAGCTGAGATAGCTGAGCTGAAGGTGTCAGAATCAGCATTTTCCAGGTGCCCAGAGCAGTAGTAAAAGCTTCTAAAGAGTAATAGGYGATTTTGTTTGTCTTCCTTTCTCCTTAAAATAAAATAGCTAGGAGTAGAAATTATAGATCACTGCATTCTTTTCACAGAGAGACAATTCCTTTCCTCCTGAAGACAGCTCTTTCTTACGGAAATACAAAGATTTTCTTTCTGTCACAGAAGTCTCTGGTGAGGGGGAATCAACAAACACTTCTGAATTAACCTTAGAATGACTTCTCCTGTCAAAGAGAAGCCGATTTCTAATCAAAATAGAATTTGTTATAGTAAATAGCTTGGTAGGAGGGAGAAATTTTCAAATTCACATTTAATGCATTACAATTAGGCCTTCATTATATTGTAACAAAAAAAAAAATCAATTAAACAAACCAAACACCGATTTAAAAAAAAAAAAAAGCTTTTTCATTTACTTTTCACGGACTTATCGAAGAACTACAGAAAACTATTTCTCCCAAGAGCAATGTAAACAGCGTCCCACTACCTCCAACAAAATTTCAAAGTATCACTCCAAGGTCAAACATGATCAATACAGCAATAAATCTCACAAATTGTTTCCTTGGCAATTTGGGAACAAAGAAAGAAACTCCAGAATTTACAATGAAGGAAGTCTTTCCATATTATACATGACACGTTCCTGAGCCATAAATAAGTATTTGCTGACTACCACTAAAGCACATCTTCTCCAAGGCAGACCCCTCAAAGTGTGAGCGCAGGAGGTGCCCAGATTGCTTCAACACATCTGGCATAACTATGGACTTGCATAAGCCCACCACAAATTCCTTATTTTCCCCCTTGAGAGAGCATGGTGTGAGGTGCCAGATCCATTAAAACTGCACTGTTTTGACAGGACTGATGTTCCCATCACCTCCACGGACTGGGGCATTGCAAAGTGAGGCTGTGAGGACAGAATTCCTCCCCGCTGGACTCAGCTGCCCCACAGGGAAGGCAGCAGCTGGGCAAACAAATCCAAGCAAATTCCATCCTGTTCTACCTCTGAATGATYCCAAAGGTGTTTATACGTGCTTGCCCGTTTGATGGGAAGGTGGCAGTCGAATGGGTTTAATTCCTTCCTCTAACAGTTTGTTTGGAGAATGAGGCAAGCATCACCTCTCCACCATTTAGATCCAACAGCTCCATGGAGTAAAGATTTCCTTCCTACCAAAGGCATCAATCCCTCTGACAGAGAGCTCTGGATGGCCCATTGCAGCCAGTGAAATTTTATGCTTGGAACACCTGACTGCATGTGCAGAAAGGAAAGTTGGTAGAGCATGGCTGTGTAAAAGCAGTGACTGTTTTTACACATTTTCAAACGCTTGCAGGCCCAGGAGGTAAGTGCATTATCCATCAAAAGAGGCACAGAGAGTCAAAGAGGCTGCACAGCTCTCTGCAGAGCACAGAGAGAGGATGACACTTCTCCAGTTTGTTCCTAACCCTTAGTGCAGACTGCACACAAACCCACTTCATCTCCTCCTGCTGTTCCACCCTCCCATGAAGCCACAAGCAGCTTGGCAATGTGACTGTCACCAGCCTGCATCAAACCACTGGCAGCAGGTCAACATCTGCAAACAGCCATTCCTGCACGTTCCACACATACAGCATTAAAGATAAAAGGAATGGTGTAGAAGCATGTCAAACTCACTCTGCATTCATGCACAAGGTAATAAAAAGAAAGCATTAAGCTAATGAGGAATTAACCCTGGGGACTGATTCCTTCAAAGGTAAAAAAAAAAAAAAAAAATCTCTGTGGTTGTAAAGCTCACAGTGGATGTCCCCAAGCCCCACTTCACTGGTGCCATGCAGAAGTGGATCATGGCAGGGGTGTGTTGTGCTCCATGTACCATCAGCAGGGTCTCCTTCAGGTCACCAGCACAAATSTGGATGGGACACACACATCTTTATCTGCTGTGACCAGACAGGAGGGCACTGTGGAGCTGTGGGTGTTTCACTCTGCTGCTGTGCCACTGCTGCCGAGTGAATRATGCCAAAATCCCAGTGTCAACAGATGGCCTGAAAAACTCGAGCATTTGGTAAGCAAAAGGTAACCTCCCATCTTCAAAACTGCCTCAGAYGCCTGTCTTAATCAACTTGCTCCTAGAAAAAGAGCCACAAATTCTGTAATCACTACAATTTATTAAAGAGTTTTATTTTTTAATCTCATTAAAAAAAAATTAAAAATCAGCATCTTCCGTAGCACCAGCTACTTGAATGCCAGGCTTAGCAACTCACTCATTTCCTMAAATAACTCAACTTTTCTTGGTGATCATCTAGTTTTGATAGAAATAGACATGGAT